TAAATCCTAAAGTTTTAGCTAAAAAACACCAATTTGTTATCAACAAAAAAACTTTATTTTATTTTCATTTATAAATTCATCATACCTTGATTTTATTGAATAACACTGATTTTATTTTCAATTTAATTTGTTGAAAATGTGATTAGTAACTTTTCTTACCTTACAAAACAAACAAAAAAACTGCAAGGTATAACAAACTTTTTAGGACATTAACAACAAAATCAACAAATAAATAAATAAACATGACGTGTGTTAATGATGTTTCTCAATCAAAAAGTAAATTTCGAAAGTAAACAACACAATAACACAACAAAATTTGTTCGAAACCTGAAAAAGTAACATTCATTCATTTCATTTATTCTTTCCTAAATACAAAACTTATTTAAATAGAATCAAGCAAAAAGTTAACTTAAAAAAAAATCTGCCAGACAAGGTGGTTATAGTTAGTACAAATACAATAATAAAAATAGGAAAAATAAGAAAAAACAGCATAAAATAAATTATAAAAGAACACAAATTAATGCACAACAAAAAAGTTTTCTATGTATTTAATTTTTTTCTTTTTTTTTTCTCCTCTCACTCACTTTGCTGCTTGTTACAGCAATAAAATCTGTTTTGATTGCAGTCATTTGTTAAAAAAATAACAATAAAATACTTTGTTCACTATAAATCCCCACTTAAAAGTCCCCACAACTAGAAATCACAAGACTAACAAGTCTGTCTTTGCTCGTTTATTAAGACTTCTTTCTCTAGGAATGAAAGGAAAAAAGCACAAAACTTTTACCAACAAGTATAAAACTTTAAGCATTAAATATGACAACAAATTCTAGGGATATTTTTAAATATGACAACCATACGACAGACGGACAGACAGAACATCTATAAGTTTAGTGATATTTTTTTTGGTAACAAATAAACAAGAAGAAAAACGAAATGAACCAACCATTCAAGCAACCAACATTAAAAATTTATTTTTCTTTTCTTATACAAATAATCAACAATTTTTATGACATTATTAAAAAACATAACAACCCAACATTCATACACAGACAACCGCACACTCTCACTCATACGCCATATTGTAAAGTTAAATAAATTTCTTAAGTTTTAAAATTTTATTCAAACATTTTTATGATCCAACAATAACTATTAAATTTGCTTTGTATTGCTTAGAATTTAACATATTATTTGAAATACACTTTTTGAATTACGATTTATTGTATAAACACGTGTTAGCATTATCAATGGAATGCGGCAATTTTGTGGAAAATGGGGGTTTTAGGTAGATTTTATTGTAAAAAAAAATGTTGAACAGTCTTCCTTTAGGAACTTTTGTTTAGCCTTTGGCAGGTTAGTAGTTAGAGTTTTGTCTTTTAAATCGGAGGTTGTGGTTCGATTTCTACCAGTGTTTCTGATTACAGTACAGTCGCGCTAGAGGATTAGGTGTATTACTTCTTGTATTTCTTTCTTGATGTAACATACATCCTCCATTCAAACTAACAAAAGTGTATTGCCTTATATAAATAAAAGTATCTTCCCTTAGAGACTTTTCTCTATAAAAGTGTGTTCGCTTAAAGTCTTTATATAGAAACGTTTCTAAGGGAAGACACTTTTCTATATAGAAAAGTCTGAGCGAAGACACTTTTCTACAGAAAAGTCTAAGCGAAGACACTTTTCTACAGAAAAGTCTAAGCGAAGACACTTTTCCAAGCGAAGGCACTTTTTCTATAGAGAAGTCTCTGAGGTAAGACGCTTTTCTATAGAAAAGTGGCTACGCTTAGAAACGTTTCTATAGAAAAGCGTCTTCCCTCAGAGACTTCTCTATAGAAAAAGTGTCTTCTCTTAGGACTTCTCTATAGAATAAGTGTATTCTCTTAGGACTTCTCTATAGAAAAGTGTCTTCGCTTACATACTTCTCTGTAGAAAAGTGTATTCGCTTAAGACTTCTCTATAGAAAAGTGTATTCTCTTAGGACTTCTCTATGGAAAAGTGTATTCGCATATACTTTTCTATAGAAACATGTATTCCTTAGAGGCTTTTATATAGACAAGTTTTTTCCTTAAAGGATTTTCTATAGAAAAGTTTCTTCCTTTAGAGGCTTTTCTATAGAAAAGTTTCTTACCTTAGAAACGTTTCTATAGAAAAGAGTCTTCCCTTAGAAACGTTTCTATAGAAAAGAATCTTCGCTTGGAAATTTTTCTATAGAAACATGTCTTCCTTAGAGGCTTTTCTATAGAAAAGTTTCTTCCTTTAAAAGCTTCTTCCTTTAATGGCTTTTCTATAGACAAGTTTCCTCCCTTTGAAACGTTTCTATAGAAAAGTATCTTCTTTCTATATTAACAATTCTTTGCTCAGAGATTTTCTCTATAGAATAGTGTCTTCGGTGGCGTGCCATAATGTCCATGGACGTTATGACAATTTCAAAAGTGTCACAATGTCCATGATCAATGGGACATAAAGTCCATGGATTTCAAAGAGTCCATTTATGAAAAAAAGGCTTAATTTAGCGAAGCCGGTGTTCGAAATACCCCAGAGATTGAAACCCCTGCGCCTTTCTTAAGGGGAACTTTTCTAAAGAACAGTTTTTCCCTCTTTAAAAGTATGTATAGGGACATTTCTTCCTCTAAAGACTTTTATATAACAAATTTCCTCCTTTTTTCTATGTTTCCATATTTTCCAGTAGATATTTTTTATAAAAAAGTCTCTTCCTTTATAAACATTACTTTTATAAAGAATAATGTCTGCCTTTAAAAGCCCAACTTTTCTATAGACAACACTCTTCAACACTTGAACCTAATTGGACAAATATTTTTGTAACCCTGTCTGCACAATAAATTGTTTTACTGCTGTTGACCATAAAAACTTAACAAACAATCCTTTTTATAAAATAAATTATTCTTGTTATAAAATTTTATATTAAAACACACTTAAATTCGTATTATTTAAATAATTTCTTAAGCTGTACATTAACTACTGTAGCTATTTTATTATGGCGCAAAATCTTTCTGCCACTTTCTCATTAAACTGCTGTTAATTTATTTATACTACTCTTTTTTTTCAGTTCTTATAAATAAATGTTCACTTGAACATTGCCCAACACCACGTACTTTGACAAGTAGAATGAAACAAAAATAATAGAAGCGTAATAAAGAAAAAGTGTTCAAATGCCATTGGCAATTGTCATTTAATGTTTATTATAAATGTGGACTTTGTGTGCTCTATTAAATTATTTATACTTAAATATACACTTTTTTTAAATAACGAATATAAAATATTAAAAGTTTTACTTTTTAATAATGTGGCAGCATATTGTGTAGTTGTTACACTGTCGTCGATATCGTTGTTGTATTTGTTGTTATGATTGCAATAATAACTTTTCTTAACTGAAAGGCATAAAACTTTTAGCAACCAAAAATTTATATTGTTTTTATTATAGCAAACGCTAAAGTGGCATTAAACTTTTACATTTAAATATTTATTATTTTAAAATTAAGAAATAAGTACAATGAGCCGTAAGACTGTCATACAACTGACTTATGAAACGAGTATAAAACGTAATTAAATTGTGTATAAAGAGTAATAAATATTTTTGGAAAAGATATAGTTTTCTGCTTAAAGTTTATAATTATGGCTTCAAAATATTTATACAGCTTAGATATTAAATTATAGGCTATTGGTTTCTAAACTTTGAAATGACTTTTTAAAATAGTATTTTTGCACAATTTCCACAAAAAAAAGTAGTTTGGTTTAATGAATTTTTATTTGCAGCATAAGAATAAATCATTTTGTCAAATTCTAAACAAATGTGTGTAAGAGTGTATGTAGCAGATAAAAGAATTGCATGTTGCAACTATTGAAAACTAAGTTTAGGTAACTATAACCATAAAACTTGACCACAATAAATTTTCAGTATCTGCAATCTAAAAGAGGAAATGCAGCATATTTTTCAATATTAAAGAAATATATTTGAATGCAACATAGAAGATGAAAAGAAAAATATTCGTTTAGATACAACCATCTTATATTCATTCATTATTTGTTTCATGCATTATTTTCGTATGATTTAAAGTATCATCCTAAAACTTGGAAATTGGTTTACCACAAAAGTTTGTTATTACTTGACTAAATTACTTTAACTACTACTAACAACTTGCAACAACTAACAACAACAACTATTGGTATGTATGGTAGACTAACAAACCTCACACAAAGTTGCATTGTAACTACAAGCATCTTGCACACTTGCACATTTGTTTGTTTAGAAATAAAAACCTAAATAGAACTAAAACAACAAAATAGAAAGTCTTTAGTTAAATAATTTTAAAAATCAAGTAGAAAAAAAAACTTTAGTATTTTAAGAGGAAATTGATTGACATTTTCTATGATTATATTATGCATACATACATACAATTATATAACTGCATCCATATAGGGTTAATGTGGTAAACAAAATGTTGCAACAAAAATATTAAAAAAAAAGAACAGATACTAAGGATATTTTGTTTATTTTCAAAAATTTTTTCCCTTGCTATTTTTTGATTATTTTTGTATCCTTAAAATGTGTTTTTCTAAATTTCTACTTATATCTGTATGTGTGTTTTTATCTGAACTCATGTGTTCATATGCATACATTTATTCAACCATGATTTAATTTTGTCAATTTCTTGTGTGTTGAATTCTGTGTCCTAAAAAGTGTTTTTGTTTGTTTTTAGGCAAAAGCCAAAGGTGTAGAACATTTCTATACCTCAAGGGTTACTTACGTACAACACATACAAAAGTTTGATTACAATACAATAGCAACAAGAGTTCAATGTAAATGTAACCCAGTGAAAAAATTATAATTGTAGATTATTTTTTTTTTATCTGGGATTATGTGATAATGACTGGGAATTAATCGAAAAACTTTATAAATAATTATTTTCTCTATGTACTTATCATATCAAATGTTTCGCCTTTTTTAAAGCTTTTTTGTAAAAACATTTTTTTTCTTTATTTTGCAGATTTCGTTTACAAATTACAGGATTTTTTAATGATCTGGTAAGTAATATAATTGTTTTCTAAAGTATGTATTTCTGTTTGGTACGGGAATTTGTAAAACGCCCATCTATATATATTAAAAGCGACTAAACGGCTGAACCGATTGAAATTTTCACAGCGTATTCCTGTATGTCTGGAATAGGCAACTTATTGTTCTGAAATTTCAAGTGGGCGAGGAAATTAATTAAGAAAATATTAAATCCATATCTATGAAATATGATTATTTAGGACAAAAAGTGGGCGGACTAGAATTAGGGGGAGTGGCATATAAATTAAATACAAAATGAACGTTTATCTTGGAAACTATTACAGTTACAAACTTAAAATTTTGCACGAATAACTCCATGTAAACATTTTGGTTAATAAATTGGCGGACTACCCATGAGGTAGTGCGCCAATCGTTTATCTGGGAAACTAATATGTAGAACTAAATTCTTAAAATTTTACACGAAGAACTTTAATAATAACATTTTGGAGGAACAAGAGCGCCTGGTACCAAATTGACACCAAACTGTTTATAATATTTCAATACCATCCGTTGTCAAAGTATATACATACGTACGGCAACACTATGTAATGTTAACAACATTGCATCATCCGTTGTCTAAATGTTAACAAACGTGGTAAGCTCACTATTGACAAACAATCCGTTACCACGTTTGTTAACATATAAACAACGGATGTGTATCAAATTTAGATTTCGACAACAAATTGTTGCATTATTGACAACGTTGCGTTGTCAACATTACATAGTGTTGTCGTACGTATGTATATACTTTGACAACGGATGTTATTAAAAAATCATAAAATCTTTGGTGTCAATTTGGTACCAGGCGTGTATATTTCTTTTTCTCTCTGTGTATATCTGAGAAACTATTAGAGCTAGAATCTTCAAATTTTACTTGAAGGACTTTGACATTCATCTGAACATTTAGAGAATAATGGGAGGACTTTCAATGGGGGGCTTGGCACCTCCCATATGAATTAAATAAAAAATTTCGTATATCTTGAAAACTGTTAGATGGATAAAAATTGGCGAACTTGCAGTAATTTGCTTGGCATATCTCATATGTAACATATTGTAAATCTGGAAAACTATTGTAGTTAGAATCTTTAAAATCGTTAAGTGGGGTTTTTATTTATATTGATTTTAGGGTAGCAAAGCACACTGGGTATAGCTAGTTTCTTTATAAATAATTTATAATTTTAAGAAAAATTTTCAAATAGTATTTAATATCATTTTAAAATAGTCTTAATTATTAAACACTAACGTTAAAAGTGTTCAAATCAATCAAAAAAGTCTTAAAGCGTAGTTTTCTATAATAAAATAAGAAATTCGCAATTGACTGGGTTACAACAATGAATGTCCTTAAAGTAGACAAACTTGTAGTTTGAATGACTTTTTCCATCAAATTGTTTTTTTATACCCTTCACTTTTGTGAGAAGTATATATATAAGATTATCATTCCGTTTGTAATTTTCACAATACAATTTTCCTACCCTATAAAGTATAGGTCCTTATCGATAGTGGAGAAGATTAAGCTATGTCTGTCTGTCTGTCTGTTAAAATTAATCCAAAAGTATCAGATATGCTTTTGAAATCAGCAAAATCTTAAGAACTATAATCAAAAAATTGTATTTTCTGTATAACTGCTTAAAACAACAACATTTATCATTTGCTTTTGTTGTTAAGTTATACATAAAATTTGTCATAGTTAATGGCTGAAATCACGGATGGAAATAATGTATGAATAAAACTAGTATTTTTTAGAAATTGTAGAAAAATTAATTTAAAAACATAATTTTTTAAAACACACCATTGTGAAGGATATATGCGATTCGGCATAGCCTTATATAGCACTATTACTTCATTTAAACATACAAATACATAAATACTCATTCAACAGTGACAAAAATGGCAGTAGCAGCACAAGAAGTAAGCTTAAGTATATAACTTGCATATGTGTTAGAGTATTTTTCTTGTTGTTTTGCAAGTTTTTATTTGGTAGTAAGTAAAAGAAAAAGTTTAGGAAAAAAACAAAAAAATTCATTTACCACTTTTGAAGACAGAAATTGTTTTGCAATTTTCATACAACTACTATTTAGAAAAGTTTTTTATAGATTTGTTTAACTTTAGCATACGATTTTCCAATTTCTTGTTGATGACATGATAAAATTTCGTTTGTTTTCATTCCCTTTAGTGCTTTAAATGTAAGAAAGAGATAGAACGAAAGGAAAAAAAAGGAAAATTTGGAATTATTGAAAGCAGTAAAGAACTTTGTTGCAGCAAATAGTTTTGTTTTGTTTTTGGATATTATGACATTTTTGCATACTTTTTTTCTTTTACATACATTTTATTGCTAATACTTTAGTCTCAAAACTTTGTAAGTTTATTTCTATACAAAAGTATTTTTGTATTTGAGCAATAATAAACCTAAAGTAAAGAAAAACAAGTAACTACAACTTTAACTCTTTTTGAATCGAATATTTCTTTGCTCTATACATTTTCAATTCAATTTATATTTTGTAACTAATTCTTTAATACCTAATTCCTTTGTTCTAGTTTTTATTTTATTCCATTTTAGTTAAAATCCTTTATTTTGGTTACAAAAATTAATGACTGCGTCATTTTATTTAAGACCTCTACTTATCAATTTGTTTTATTCATTAGCTTTTTCATTACTTCTATTTTGTCATCATTTCGTATTATAGAGAAAAAAATACACATTTAGTATAGAGTTCCTCTGGGCTGTGTTCTATTTTTATGTAGTTTCCATTGTAACCGCTGTAATAATTTATATGTTAAGCCAATTTCAAATTGTAAAAATTACCATTTTACAGTGTTAAATAAAAATTAATTACAGCCATTTGTTGTAACGCTAACAAACTGTGCCAAACCCACCTTTATATACCCATCTGTTGGCTATGGATGAGAAATTTGTTCGAAAAGGAGACTAGAGAAATTCAAATGAAATGTATCACAAGGTGTATAATCTGCTGAAATACCTTAAACAGGGAGGTAGCAGTTTCAAATGATGGAATGAATTTTGAGTCCAGACTAAAAGTCGCTAATTAAACTTAATTAACTTTTTGGTTAACATGAACTGCTATGTATATAAGTGGTCGTCATAAAGAGGGAATAAAGAATAATATATCTGTACATTTTGAAACCTGTGTCTTATTATAAATATGTACTAAAAGTACTTAATTGATTGACTGAACTTTTAGCTACTAATTTTAATTTTAATGTATTATTTATGTATTTTCGATGCTGAATGAGATTTTCATATTCTACCTAGCTCCCACTACCTACCTCCTTTACTTCTCAAGTTTTTATGCTCTACACAACTATATTATGCGTTTGTGCTGATGTTTGTAACACCTAAAAATATTGGTCTTTCTGAGTCGATTTAGCTTTGTCCGTCCATCCGTCTGTCCGTTTGTGTGTCAATGTAAACCTTATGCGCACTCTACAGATCGCAATTTTTAACATAATTTGATTAAATTTTGCCACCTACTCTTCTTTGAATGAAGCCTATTGAAAATGTTTAAAATCGGTCCATTATTTCGTATAGCCCCCATACAACCGAACCCCCCGAATAGGACTTTTGAGCTCATAAATATGTTAAAGGTTCTTGTATCACTTCAAAAATCGGCAAAACTCGGGCCTAATTTGACCCTATCCTTCATACAAAGTCCACTTTAAAAAATGACTTGATAGACAAGATTCACTTATAAACACTTATATCAATATAATATTCTGCATAAATAACTAATATAGACGTAAATCCCTCAACCAAAGTTTATAAGGATATGACCATATTAACCGCTCTTTTAGAAAATCCCTTTTTTGTCAACAAAATGTTAAAATATTTCTGAATTAAAGTGATCTTAAATACTTTATTTTTCAAAAAATAATCAAAATTTGTAACATAATCACTGATGTAGGGTATCATATAGTCGGCCATGCCCGACTATAATTTCTTACTTGTTAATAATATAAACGAGATAAATAATTTGTCTACTATAACTTTTTCCTTTAATTTGTTCCTGTTTTTCGAACAGCACTGTCCAACTTTTATTGTAACTACATAAAAACTAGTTAAACAAAACTAATGTGTCATAATTACCCGAAAATAAAACAACAAATAAAATTTTAAGACCACAACCTAAACTAACATCAACATAGTTAAACAAACAGGCAAATAGGGCTATAACCAGCAATTCATAAAACCAGCCATGCAGAGGCAGAGGATCCCATTCCATGGCAGATGATTCATTGTTAACATGTCTATCAGTCGCTCACTGTAAAATTAGACTAAATGAAACTAAACGCACAATAACAGAGAAAATGGCATAATCATCAGTAGCATCTACTACTGGTTTCTAATTTGAATGAATACTTTAAGGGTTTTTTTATATTATTGTATTTTTTTTTCTCCTTTTAGTCAAATATATGTGTGTGTATATGTAATTTGTGTGTGCAATAACAGCAGCCTGGACTTTTGGGTTTCTAGCTAATTTAACCGTTTGGGAATTGTAGAAAAGTGCTTTGTCATAATCAGCTCAAGGCAAGGTGGTTAACAAAGCTACTGGTACTGACTACTCACTTGGCTATAAAATACAGCTAAATGCTGTAGAGCAAAAAACTTTTACTTCCTCTAATTTTGTTCATCTTCTTGGTGTTTTTTTTTTTGTCAACATTTGTTGACTTGATAATAGGCTGTCACATAATTAGGTTGTAAATTTTCGGTTACCATAAAAGTAGGAAAAATTTCTTTGTTGGCCGTTTTTCCACCCCCAGCCATTCCCTAAACAAATTTATGCCAATGTAAATTGAAAAAAATAATTGTAATTTAGCAAACAAAAGGCAGATAGTATAAGCGCCATTAAACTTAACAGAGATAATCCTCCTGGTTGGTTCGAAAAACAAATGAAAATAAAGCAAAAAAAAATTAATTGTACAAAAACAAATGTAGAAAAAAAAGTATGTTAAAGTCCAT